ATCCCAATTAATATTCTTCTAACAGAAGCTAGCTGGTCACAGCGAGATTAGCAAAGATGTTTAAAGATAAGTCAGCTAAATGTTGGAAATGCCACCAGATAACTGGGTCTTATTATCGTATGTGGTGGACATGGGTAGAAGCAAAAAAATACTGGACAAAAATACATGTGTGGCTGGAAAAGATGATAAAACAGCCTATTGATTTAAATAGGAAAATATTTGAATGTGCAGAAATGAATAGATTAATGCTAGCAATTAAGGAGAAAGAACAAACTGAATATTATAAGATATGGGAATTATTCTATCAATGGTTAGAGAAGAAAAATGGAAGTTAGAAATAAAAGATTAATGAATTATAGAAAATATGCTAAGATAGACATGTAAACAATATGATTGTAATTGATATGACTATTAAGCTCACCATGTTTAATATTATCACTAGAAGGTAAGTTAAGAGGGAGGAATGGAAAGTTTTATTATATAAAATATTACGATTGTAAGATTAGAAAGTCAATATCAAAGTAATGTATATTGTTGTAAATTTTGATGGTTATTGGACAGAGATATTTGTAACCAGACAATACACTGTTTAATGGAAGATGCAATGTTTATATTTTTTTAAAAAAGAAGCTAGCTGGTCACAAATAATGATCATGTGATTGTAGGATGCTGTAACTTGTAAATGCATGCCAGTTGCCAAATGCCCAAATCACAATCATGTGACCACAGGGTCCCACATCTATCAGATGCAAGTTTAAGAACCAGTTGTATGTCTTGTTTTACAGGATTACTGTAACTTCAAATGATTAGCAATAGCACTTAAGATATATACACCGTTTCACCCTGCTTTTTCAGTCCTCTCTCAGCAGTTTACAGAGTCAGCATGTTGCACTCAACAATCTGGCTCCTCATTTTACTGACCTCGGAAGGATGGAAGGCTGAGTCAGCCTGGAGCCTGGTGAGAATCGAACTGCTGCCAGTCAGCAGAATTAGCCTGCAATACTGCATTCTAACTACTGCACCACCACGGCTCATATTGCTGAGCAGTCGGTAAGCGAGGACTACCTGTATGTTTGACTCAGCTGAAAAGTTACACCAGTGCTCAGTTATGACCCAATTAATAAAGCGAGGAAAAATGAAAAACAAAAAAAGTTATCCCAGCAAAGTCTCAAGGGACAACGTTCTACCAATAAAGGAGAACGTTGTCCAATAAAGGAGAAACTTGTATTTGCTAGGAATCGGAAGTCACAACACTCCTTAAATTTCCTGTAAAATTCATATGATTGGAAGGGACATTGAAGAAGGTCTTCTAGTCCCTTTCATTTGGTTTTGCGGAAAGGACCAATGATTTCATAAAAGCTTTCCAATTCAGGGTGGAGATGCCTTTAAAAAAACTCCCACAAAAATTAAAAATCTTCAAAGTCTCTTTTGTGAGTAGCCAATCACAACTTTTGAAAGCCAGAAGTTTTGTAGTTGTCTAAAATTTTGCAGTCCAGATGGAGAGGCGGAGCCTGGAGTAAGTCGTTGTATGAATAGCAATGTTGATAAACCAATTATATTAACACAGAACCAAACTAGTGTTGGAATACATCTTGTGCTTATTTACTTATTTCCTGCCAGAAATACTTCTGCCCAATTCCGTTACAGCTTTGTTCCCTATGCCATCCATCTGGTAAACTCTCAAGATTCGTTTTTCTCACCATGTACATGTGGTACACTTGAACTAGACTGTGTTGCATTAACAGAGGGATACAAACAAGATCAAGTAAGGTACTAATACCACTCTATAAAGCCCTAGTAAGACCACACCTAGAGTACTGCATCCAGTTTTGGTCACTGCAATATAGAAAAGATGTTGAGACTCTAGAAAAAGTGCAGAGAAGAGCAACCAGGATGATTAGGGGACTGGAGACTAAAACATATGAAGAACGGTTACAGGAACTGGGCATGGCTAGTCTAGTGAAGAGAAGGACCAGGGGAGACATGATAGCAGTCTTCCAATATTTGAGGGGCTGCCACAGAGAGGAAGGGGTCAAACTATTTTCTAAAGTGCCTGTAGGCCAGACAAGGAATAATGGATGGAAACTGAACAAGGGAAGATTTAACCTGGAAATAAGGAGAAACTTTCTGACAATGAGAACCATCAACCAGTGGAACAGCTTGCCCTCAGAAGTTGTGGGAGCGCCATCACTTGAGACTTCCAAGAAGAGATTGGACTCCCATCTGTCAGAAATGGTGTAGGGTCTCCTGCTAGGACAGGGGGTTGAACTAGATGACCTACAAGATCCCTTCCAACTGATTATCTGTTATCTGTTGTTTGTGTGTCATAGAATATATATGGGTGTTATGGCTCTCCCGTCAGAGTTCAAACAACACAAAACCAAAAGCAGCCGTTCCAAAACTTAAATCCAACAGAAAGGAGTCTTTACAAGATAACGGCTGTCACCAATAATATTCCACACGCCCTGTTCATCAAAACAGTCCTGGCACAAATTCTCAAAGCTAAAACCATCTAGATGGGCGTGTCAATCTCCCTAAATCAACGTCTGGCCTGATGTCTTCCCACAGCTTGACGTTTCAGCCTCCTTCTTGTTCTGGCATCAAGCCACGATCTGTCAGCTTCTTCGCTGGACTCTTCTGACTCATTTTGTGGCTCAATTGCAGGCATGAATGAGGTCGAGGGTTCAGGCGAAGAATGTCTGTGTGATAACCTCTCATCCCCCTGGCTCACATCTGTGTCTTCTAACAATTCAGACTCCAAATTCTCAGCAGGCTCCAGCCTTTCATCCTCAGAGTCATCAGAATCAAAACTCACAGCAGGATCCTTTAAGAGCTGTATGCAAAAAAATTTCATTTTAATTTATGCCGGTTAGTGTACGTTCAACGTGACAAGTTATTCTATTCTATTCCATTCCATATATTCTATAGTCTATTCTGTTCTATTCTGTTCCGTTCCATTTCTACCATATATTCTGGAAATAAGACCCTGTTTTATATATTTTTTTGCCACCAAAAAAGGCACCAGGTCTTATTTTCGGGGGATGTCATCCACTGACTAACCTCACTTGTGCATGTCACCCCCAGCCTCCTTTTTGCTGTCAGAGGCCTTCAGGAATTTCTGCTGCAGCCAGCAAGGCTTTCCTGAAGGCCTCTGCAGCTGATAAGAGCTCCAGATCTATCTGGAGCTTTGTTATCAGCTACTGAGGCTTTCAGGAAAGCCTTACCATCTGCAGAAGAAATTGGCTGCCAAGGCAGGTGTCGGAGTGTGCAAGGCCTGACTGCAACTGTCTCTAAGGTAAGTAGTAGGGCAGCTCTAGGTCTTAGTTTTGGGGGATGTCATCCTACTGACTCGCCTCACTTGTGTGTGTCATCCCCAGCCTCCTTTTCATTGTCAGAGGCCTTCAGGAACTTCTTCTGCAGCCAGCAAGGCCTGCAAGGCTTTCCGGAAGGCCTCTGTAGCCGATAACAGCTGCAGAGGCCTTAGGGAAAGCTTTGCCGGCTGCAGAAGAAATGAGCCAGCAAGACAGGTGTCGGGGTGTGCAAGGCCTGACTGCAACTGTCTGAAGGTAAGTAGTAGGGCAGCTCCACCACCCACCCCAAATCCTAGCTTAATTTTTACCCATGCACTCTGAAGTGGGCGGGATCTTAATTAGGGCTTATTTTGGGTAGGTCTTATATTGGGCACATGTGTAAAAATCAAGCCAGGACTTACTTTCAGGGTAGGTTGTATTTTCAGGGAAACAGGCTATTTAAACAAATCATACTGAAGGCAGCAGATTTTACTCCCGGCTAAATGTTTAGAGGACTGTGGTTTAAATGAAGGCAAAAGGTTATTTCTAAATGAGACTGCAGCTTAAAGTTCATCACCATTTTATGAGCACCGAAGCTGCTTTTCCATGAAACTAAACATCTACTCCAAACCCAAGCTTCTGCAAGGTGGCATCTGCCAGAGGTACTGGACTGCAAATGCCATGCAACCTGTAATTAAAGATGGGAGCTGGAGTGACATTTCCAAAAGGCACCACGGTGAGAAATGATGTTTCTATCCATCATTCCTTATTCATCAAATTTCTAAGGCTCTTTAATGATTAACTCCTGTAAATGATCCTGAGAAGTGCATTATGTTAAGGAGATTCATTTTTTAAGAGGGGATTCATTATGTTAAGAAAGGGGATTCATAACCATTTTTTTTCTGATGGCAAATGCTCATTGCAATGTCAAAGCATACTTCTAATAGCCAAAGTCTCTCAAGAGACAGGAAGGCAGGAAAGGAGAACTTCTGAAGAAAAAAAAATAAAGCCTGCCATATAATTATCAATCTAAACTCAGATCCCTCTGGAGCTCAGCCAGATTTAAAGAGGGTTAGGGTTGGGGTTAACACTACCCTTGGAATGCTATTTACTAAGGTTGACTGAACCCCAAGGGTCTGACATGTCCACTTCCTCCCCTCATTGCCACTCTGAAATATCTAGAGCAGGGGTGTCACACTCAAGGCCCGTGGGCTGGATCCAGTCCATGGGCTGTTTAGATGTGGCCCATGGGGCTGTGCTGGAAACAGCGAAAAACCGGCCTGTGGTGCCTCTGCCAGTGAAAACAGAGCTTGGGAAGGCTGTGAGTGGCCCTCCCCAGGCTCAGTTTTAGTTAGCAGAGGGCTGCAGGAGGCCATCATAGCTGAAAACGGATCCTGGGGTGGCTGCACGTGCCCCTCTGGGCTCCATATTTGCTGGCAGAGGGCTAGCAAAACAAACTAAAAGCAAAACAAAACAAAAGGACAAATGTTTCCTCTTTTGCATTTAAGCATCCTCCCCGCCACCCCGAGGTCAAACACAACCCTGAATGCAGCCCTCAGTGAAATTGAGTTTGACACCCCTGATCTAGCAGAAAATAAACCCAAACAAGAGACATGGATCCCCAGTCGTCAAGATTATTTATGTCCGATTTACACAACTTGTGTAACAGCGCCGCAAAAGAACAGGATAGGTGAGGGAGGGCTGTGGTTTTGTGCATTTTCTTCCTTTTATTAAAAAACAAAAAACAAAAGAGAGGGGGGGGAAGGAGAATCCAGCTACAGGAAGCTCTCTATCTTCTCTTTCTCCCCTCAGCTCCCTGCCACCAGTAAACCACCGCCCTCGCTGACTTTTTAAACTCCCTTGCAATTCATTCTTTCACCCCCACCCCCACCCCCACAGCCTCTGCCATTATTACACAAGACATATTACATATTTATAAATATAAACCCCACCACACCCCACACGGAGACAGGGTGGGTACGGAGGGAAAGGAAAAGGCATCCTCCCCCCACCGTCTCTTTTGCACTTATATTACAGCACATGAACTGGGGCGATGGCAATGGTGGCAGTGGCGAAAGGAGCCGGCTGTGGGGAGAACCAAAGGGAAGGGAAGGAGTTGCTACTTAGAGCCAAGGTCCTCTTAGCTTAATGGGGGAGGAGGAGGAAGAGGAGGGCTGGGTGTTTCATTTCACTGCCTCGAGATTGCAGCCACGGAAACACGTTCTTGGGTGACAGTTCCAAGTGCTGCGGGAAGAGCGGTGGATCTGCTCACACAGCCAACAGCCACCTTTTAATTTCTCCCCCCCCCCCCCAAAAAAAAAAAAAAAATAAGGCCCACACGAGCATCCTTGGAGGCAAGTCACTTTTTCCCCCCTTTCCCCCATCCAACCCTTGCTGGGGTTTGAAGGAGCCTGGCTTTGTCCTCCCAGCAACCAATGTGGGGATGAAAGGAAACCTGCTGCAGGCCCCCGATGGGACTCCCGAGTCTCTGGTCTTTCAAATTCAATGTCATGAGGATGGCTAGCTCCCCGCCCCGGGAGGTGCTGGCCCTGTCAGAATCAGTCCGTCTGCCCTCTGGACTTAAGTTCAGTCTTCTCCTTCCTCCTCCCCTTTGTCACTGGAGTCAGAGTTGGCCGGCATCATGGGGTCGTCATCCAGCAAGGAAAAGTCCCGTTCCGAGCTGGTGTAGCCCTGAGACAAGTTGTCCATCTCGTCTTCCTCCTTGTCTTCATCCACACACTGAGGGTGGCCCAGGTGCAAGTGGGTGGCAGCATAGTCAGCGTGGACCAGTCCCGGGTGGAGAAGGGTGCCGGAGGTGGTGGCAGCAGTGGCCACGGCAGCTGCAGCGGGGAACGGCATGTATTGCAAGGCGGAGCCATGGGCCAGGGTGGTTTGGAAGTGGGCATGGTGGTGCAGAGAGAGGGGTCCCACGGCTCCTAGTTGGACCCGGCCGGCTCCCATCAGAGCCATCATGTTGGAAAACTCCATCGGGGTCTGGCGACCGCGTTTCTGTGCGTTGTCGGCCCCCACAGCTTCTGGAAGGAGGCGATTCATCATCGGATCAGGAAGAAAACCCTGAAGGGAAGCAGAGGCTAAATTAGGCCATGTTCATACTCCATTGGCTGACCTGGTTAATGGCTCCCTCAATTAATGGGCTCACTCCAGGCACTGGCAGCACATGATTTTCAGTGACTTGGTCAAGTGGGAGGAGCCTGCCCTGGCCCTTTTTTTTTTTTTTTGAGAAGAAGGGAAAATAAATTCAGGTAGTCCTCAAACTTACGACAATTCATTTAACCACCATTCAAAAACTGGAAAAAGAAGACTGGTCCTACACTTAAGAGCCGCAGTGTCCTTGGGGGTCACACAATCAAAATTCAAGTCCTTGGTAACCCACATGAAGTTGTGGCATCCCACTGTCACGTGATTGCCATTTGCGACCTTCCCAGGAAGGTTTTGACAAGCAAAGTCAATAGGAGAAGCTGGATTCGTTTAACGACTGGGGCAAAAGGAATTGTAAGATCAGGTGCGACTCATTTAACAACGGCATCACTTAGCAATTGAATGTCCAGTCTAAACCGTGTTCACAAATCAAGGACGACATCCATCCAACCTCTCCCCATCTCCCCAACCAACCAACCAACCATGAAACTTCTTAACTGTCCATCATCCTCATAGAAAGCCTCTAGGCAGTGTAGAATTAAATATATTACATTAAAGCTGAATAATTTAAGATTAAAACTTTTAAAAATGCAAAAGAACATTATAACATTGCAAAAGATGGGTGTTCCAAGATGTACAGACTAGAAGTATGGATAGAAGTGTGTTGGGGCCGCCATTGACAGAGGAGAGAATTAGGATGTATCCACTGCTATTTCCTGACACCCCCTCCCCCTTTTCATCTTGCCTTCTGGTTGGGAACATGACACCTCAAACAACGTCCGAAATCAAGTTCTTAAAAGCATTTTTTAATATAAATAATTGAAAACTGAAAGCATCGGCAATTTTCTATACCAAAATGTTAGGATGGTTGTAGGATCTCCGTTTTAATTACCTTTTTACCGTTGGCAGAAATGCCAGCTACCTGCATCCTCTCCAGCCCTGCCAGACAACTCGACTCTATTGGAACAGGTTTTGGGAACCGGGGCCATCTGTGCTTCCGGCGTTCTTCCATGTACTGTAGAGAAGAGGAGGAAAATAGGTTGAGTTAAGACACTGCTCAGTGAGTACAACTCCCTATTACATGCATGTTATAAAGCAGGGGTGTCAAACACAAGGCCTGCAGGCCAGATCTGTCCTGCGATGTGGTGGGATCCAGCCTGCGGGGACCATGCTGGAAAATGTAAGGGGCCGGCCAGTGTCGCTTCGGTCCGGTCTACCCAATGCAAAGAGGAAATATTGGGCCAGCATGGCTTCAGCCCAGTCTACCCAGTGGGAAGAGGAAACATGCCAACAATTTGGGGAGTGGCATCAAGCTGGCCCTGCCCCCCCAGTCAGCCCTGCCCCCCCAGTCAGCCCCCCCCCCCCCCCCCCCCCCCCCCCCCCCCCCGGTCAACCACAACCCTAATGCGGCCCTCAATGAAATTGAGTTTGACACCCCTGTTATAAAGTCACCCTCTCTTCTAAAAGCTGCCAATGCCTTTTGGGGGGTGGGGGTGGGGGGTGGGGTGGGGGTGTCAATTCTAGCAACTGGAAGAAAGATGTGTTTCCCAGAAATCCAAAAGTATAAACCAGGTAAAATCTAAGAATGACCAAGGATGCAATTTCATGATTCACACTTTTCTCTGTGTTCTTTCACATTACCTCCTTATTGCTGCTTTTCCTTCCATCTCTCCTTTGGCTACCCTACACCCCTTTTTCCCTGAAGTGAACCCCAAATTAATTGCATCAAGCTACATCAGACAAGAGGAAAAAGATTCATTGCTCCTAGCTTTGCTCTTGAGATCTCTGTAGACATGTTCATTTAGAACTGCTGACTGTTTTGGAAATTAGGGTTTTTAGTAGGGTGCTGTGAATGTCGGGTGAGAGAGAGAGCCCAACACCCCCACACAGGGGGAAATAAGGGGAGAGGAAGGCAAAGAAGGATGTGAATTCTTTCTATTGGATGCATACAGGTAGTTCTTGACTTACAACCATTTGTCTTGTGACTGTTTGAAGTTACAACAGTGTCAGCGCTCTAAGTAATGCATCCATTGAAAAATGCAACTCCGAGGCAGGTAGACTCCTCAAAGAACAATTTATTGGATACATCATATTGGCACAAACTGGTGAAAACGGACTCTGAAAGTCCCACGGTTTTCACCTGATTAAAAAGTGAAAATTTTCTCCCTTCTCCCAAGTCATCAGTCATATTGTCCAACAGAGGTGCTGGCCGGTTGCTAAACCAACCCTGAAGCGGACCTGGCTGAAGCCATCTTCGTGGCTTCAGGGTTGCCAAACAGGACTGAAAAAAGGGAATTATGACCGTTTCTCACACTTTCGACCATTGCAGCATCCCCATGGTCACACGATCAAAACTCATGTGCCTGGCACCTGACTCATATTTACAACCATTGTAGTGTTCATGGGATGCCCTTTTTGCGACCTTCCAGCAAGCAAAGTTAACAGGGAAGCCAGATTAACTTAAGATCCGTGTTACTAACTAAACAACTGCAATGATTTGTTTAACAAACATGGCAAGAAAGGTCGTAAAATGGGGGAAAAACCAGGAGTGGGATTCAAATTTCTTAACAACTGGTTCTGTGGGTATGGCCTAATTTCTGGGTGTGGCTTGGTGTTCATGTGACTGGCTGGGCATGGCTTGTATGTAAATATTATAAATATTTATGTAAATGTTGAATTTTTTATAAAAAAAGAGCAACTTTTACCCAAAATCAGGCAAAGCAGGCAGGCAGATTGAGTTGCTCACAGAATCACAGATTCACTTAGAGATCTGTGTTTCTGCCTTCAGCTATCTGAGTCTGCACAGTTTCAGTCCTAAGGAAGGTTCGGCTATGCTTAAAAGCCGAATCAAAGATCTAAAACGATTTCCTGCTTTCTAGCTAAACTAAATCTCCCGGCACAGCAGAACAGCTGATGGTTGGGGAAAAAAAAGGAAAAATAGCAATTTAGCCGGCAAGTTTGCCAGGTAAGGAGTGAGTGGGCAGGGAGCGTTCACGCGGGCCATGTGGGTGGTGCAGCCTTGTGTTCCGGTGCAGCCTGGATTAATTGCTTTGGGGGCTGCTCTGGGGGTGACATTTCTCTGCAGACCAAAATTTTCTCACGGACCACCAGTGGGCGCGGTCCTTCTTAACAAGCTCCAAACTGTTGCTGCTGCTGCAGGCCATGAATCCAGGCTAGAAGCAGTTTTTGGAGCTTAACAGCCATGCATTTTCAAGCCACTCCTTTAAACTGCTCCAAGCCTGGTTTTCTCATGGGCGCTGGAAGTTTCGTTCTCTTTCCTTCCTTCCTTCCTTCCTTCCTTCCTTCCTTCCTTCCTTC